TAAATTTAATTGTTCAAATTCTTTTAAAGTATTTCAATTTGATTAATGAAAATAGAAATTGTTTAAACAAAACAATTCATACTTGAAGATAATCATTAATTACATTTTTATTTCTAAAATGAATCATCAATTTCATATATATACAAAAGTAGTATTTTGTTATTTATTGTGAGTAAAACAATATTAGTGTAATTAGTATAATATGATTGGAATAAGAATAATATTAATAAAAAAATACAATTAATTAATAAGGATTAATAGTATTTTTTGAATAAGAACTAAATATTTTTTTTTATTTTTAGGTTATGAGTGAATGTATTATTTTTGATAGTGATTTACAAGGATGGAATAAAGAAGAATTTTGTAAGAGTATATTAAATAAATCTTATTTATCATTTTATATTCAAACAAATTCAAATTTAGTTTTTGGTTTTCATCTTACAAAGTCTATTAAAATTATTGATTATTATTCATATGACTCTCAATTATCTTTCTTTCTTTATTTTCCAAATAAGAAACAATTACCTTCTAATCCAATGAATCAATGGATAGGTATTTGTATTCCAACTGAGGAAAGAAATACCTTATTTCATCTTGGAATGAATGATTTTGAAAGTGATGTTAATTTTTTAACAATAAGAAATACCAAATTATTTTCTCGTGTTCATCTTTTAGATGATTTTTTTCTTTTAGAAGAAGGTGATATACTCCCTGAGATGGAATTTCAAATTTTAAGGTTGATAGTAATTCAAGTTTTATGAAAATATATATATTTCTAGTTCATTTTTTTTTACTTATTAATAAATTATTATTTATAGGTATATGTCTTGCAGTGAAACACCACAAGAAAAAGAACAAATATATGAAAACCTTATGACAGAAGATCAACGATATTTTGAAGGTAAAAGAAATTGGTTAAGACAACAAAGCCTTGAAGAAATTTTTGAACCTAATGAAATTAATACCATATTAAATGCATTAAATTCTGTAGATAGACTATGGGAAAACGTTTGTATGCTATTTATCAAAAAGATATAAAAAAGAAGAGATATAATCATATCATAGATTTATGAAACGAAAAGAAGGTATCATAAATTTAATCAAGAAATGAAAGAAAATGAAGACTTTTTATCATCAATAAATAAACAATTTGATGAAATGGAAAAATCATTTTTATCTTCAATAACACAAAATACAATAATTGGAAAAGAAACAAATTGAGAATAAAAGAAGACAAACAATAATAGTAAATTGAATTATTTGTAAGAAAAAAAAAATATTATTTTTATTATTAAGAATAATATTGAGTATATTCGCAATCAACACATTCAGGTATTTCTATTTTGATTGATTTTACATCTTTCATTGATTTAATTAATTCACGAGTTTGAACAGTAATATTTGTTGAAGAAACTAATGTTTGAGAATACCTAAAGAATTGACTAAAAGGAAGAATGATTGGATTAGCATAGTCATAAATACTTGTTGGGTTGTCATTAATAGTAATAATTGGTAATTTATCTAAATAAAATGTAAAAGGTGCAATAACATTTATCAATGATAATGAAGTATTTGATGGAAGAACTTCATAATCAATAAAGCTCAACTGATTTACATAAAACCCACCAGCAATATAAGAACTTCTAAAAGAATTATCATTCTTTTTATAAACAAAAGGAATAGCAAGAAATTCTAATTTACGATCTATTTCAATAACAGCTTGATATTCTATTGAAGAATAGAAAGTAACATTAGCAATAATACCATGATGACTTGATTCAATAATATATTTTTGATTTTTACCAGTATAATTTAATTGAGTAACGTTAAGATGTCTACTAGTAACATAAACTTGATTTTTAAATTCTACAATATTAATTATACTTGGTAACATTTGTTTATCTTCATAATGATTATCTGAACAAAGTGATATTTGGTGAATGAATGGATAATAATTATTCATTAACTCCCAACTTTCATCATATGACATTGTAAAATTAATTGATTTTAATTGATTTTCTTTTGTAGAATTTACACAAAAAATAGAAGGAGATGTAACAGATGGATAACAGTTTTGTTTTTGTAATGGAATAACAAGAACAGTAAAATTACTTGAACATCCAATATTTGAAAATTCACTAAAATACATAGAATATGTAGGTTTTGGATCTTCTATTGTAATAGTAACTGGATATGGTTGAATTATCATTTCTTCTGTAGTATTTAATTCAAAGGAAATAACTAATCTTTCACATTTTTTATAATGGTCAAACCACCCACTAGTAGCACAACCAATGAACTCTCTATTAAAACTAAAACGAGAATCATTTAATGTAATTTTTGGTAGAATAATGTCTCTATTGAAAAAACCTCCGACTTGTTGTTCAATAAATGTTCCATAAAATGTTAATGAATAAGATGGGTCAACAAAAGTGTAAAATTGTGTCGTATTTTTAACATCAATAAAAGGGGGGTCTTCGTAATTAACTAATAATGAATTATATCCTTTACTACAAACATATGACTTTTTAATTGTTATCGTTCTCATTATTAGAAAAAATATTGACACAAATAATGATACTCCAATAACAACTTTTAAATAATATTTTACTTTAAATTGTTTCTTATAATATTCATCTCTTGTATTTTCAGTATTATCATTTTTCTTCGTGTCAGAGTCATAACTATATAACAGATCTTGCATTTCTCTTAATTTTTTAGTTCTTTCATTCTTTTTTTTGTTTTTTTTTGTTTTTTTTAATATTTTTGAATGTTTGAAAGATGGAGCAATATTCAGATTGTATAGAAAAGCAAAAATAATGAAAAATGAATGATTGAAATACTCCACACTTTGTAAAGACAAGATAGCAACAGTATAACACATTCTATTATCTTGTATTTATCATAATAAATCAAAAATGAAGAAACATGACAATATAGGCAATATAAAAAATACTTCATATGAAACAACATTCTAATGTAAAGACATTACTATGATATGGAACAAACAAATAATGCATAAAAGTGAATGACAATATCACAAAATACCAGATATATATGTATTAGATAAAAAAGAACAAAACTAGTTTATTATTTGATATAACTAATGTTGAATATCACAATATTAATTGAGCCTATTTGAAGAAAAGAAATATGTATAAGGAATTAAAGAATACTCTAATGAAAATAGAAAAGTTAAAAGATGTCAAAATAATTCCAGTAGTAATTTCAATAAATGGATTAATAAATAAAGAAAGTAATAAATTAATTAAAGAATTAAAAATTGAGATTAACATCGAGAAAGAAATTAAAAACAATGTAATTAAAAACATGATAGGTGTCATGGAATACTGCTTCTATCACAACCAAACATACTCCGTAGAGTTGCTTGAAGATGAAGAATCATTGGGATTAGTCTCCCATGATCCAGGAACAATAGAAGCTATTCCTATTAATACTTAATTAATTGCTTTATTATTTCTTAAAAAATTTTATTTAACCAATTAATTGCAAAACAATACAACACTTCAATTAAAATTCTATTTCTTTATTTTTTGTTGTATTTCTTTGTATTGTCTATTTATCATTTCATTTTTTGTTATTCAGTGTTTTGTTTGTGTGATATGATATTAAGAAATATTATTATTGATTGTTTTCTTATTCCTTTTTATTACGTATTAAACAGTCTTTTATCTTTTGTTATTTCTTGTGTCTGTTTTTCTATCTTTTATTCTTATTCGGTTTAATTTAATTGTGTTTATTTCTTTTCAAATAATTTATCCAAAAATTCATTTATGTCTTTTTGATGTTCACTTGTTCTTTCTTTCGTTTTTGGACTCTTATTCTTTCTTTATATTCTTCATCTTTCTTGTTTCTTTTTATTTCTTTCTTCTTTACTACGTTTCATTTCATATGTTTCATTGTGTTGTGGTTTTTCCTTTGTTCTTTTCATTTTCGTGATTTTCTGATTCTTTCTTATGATTTTATCATTTCAGACTTGTGGATTTTATTTTCTCTTGTGTTGTATATTCACTTTTATAATTAACTCTTTATCCTTTTTCTTGATTTTCTTTGTGTAAATGTCATATCTCTATATTCTGCTTCTTGATTATCTTTTCTCTTTTTGTTTCGTTGATTTTCATTTTGTATCTCTTTTACTTTCAAACCTTCATATTTTTCTTTCTTCTTTATTATTTCCTTTCTTATGAAATTACTCTTCTATTTCTTTGCTTTCTCTTTCTTTTATCATCATTTTTCTCTTTGTCTATTCTTCTTTTTCATGACTTTCTTATTCTTTCTTTTCTTCTTTCTATTTCTTCTTCTCTATTTCTTCTTATTTCGTGTCTTTCTCTTCTTCTGTTGATTTGTTTGTATCTTCTTTTTTCACTCTGCCATCAAAATGCCGTTGTCTATTCTCTTCTTTTATTCTCTTCTGAATAACTTCATTTCATCATTTTCTTTCATATTTCATATTTGTTATTGTTAATGATATGAGTATCATCATTTCTTTGTTGATTGTTTCGAGTGTTTCTCCTCCCCCTTTAATTAGTGGTTTGCTTATTATTTCTCCTTTGTTCTTTGAATTGGTTATAACCTCATTTGATTTTTGTCTAATTACTTAAATCACACTTAAATCACTCAGTCTCATTTGTTGTTCTTGTGCTTGTTATTTATTGTTATGTGACTTAGTGAATGTTGAGTAAATTAAATTACTACGAGAATTAAAAATGAAATTGGCAACACCAAAACATCAAAGAAATGTCACTTAACCCATGAATAACACCATAATTCTTGTCTCTATCATACCTGAAGAATATACTCAACAACACTTCTAGAAAGTGTCAAAAAGATAAATTATTCTCAACAATGTAAAAGACAATATAATCAAATTTGATTATAACTTAATTAGTTAAGTCTAGTTTTTATTTTCGTTAAGTTATTTATTGATTTAAATAAAGAATAACAAAAATTAATATTCAACAAATAACAATTAAAAGAGTTTAATCTGTTTTTTCTTCCTTTGTTTCTTGTTTGTTTTGTGTGTTGTCATCTGATGAAATACTTTCAACAATAATATCATCACCAACATTTTCTCCATTCTCATCATCAACAAGGTCATCTGCAACTGGACCAATTAATAAAGCAACAATATCGTCTTTATGTTCTTCAGAAGCTAATTCAATAGCAGTTTTATTTTGGGCATTAAGAATTGTTTTATCAGCACCTGCATCTAACATCATCTGAACTATTTGAATATCCCCACGAACAGCCCAATGTAAGGCAGTACTTCCTGATTCATTTTTATCATTAATAATTCTCTTAATTTCATCAAAAGATAGAAGAAATGAAGTCATTTCTAAGTTGTTATTTCCGCAAGAATAATGTAATGCAGAATTCCCATATTCATTTTTTACTGTTAATATATCATGGTCTTGTTCAATAAATGATTTAACAATGTCTAATTCTCCATACCGTACTTCTTCAAGAAACACATTCACAGATTCAACATCAAATCCGTTGGTTTGCATATTCTTCTTTCAGTTTCTATCTTCTTTTTTTTAGGGTTTATTAATCATGTTTTATAAAACAAAAAAAAACAGTTCAAAAATTGAATTTTAAACTATTCATTCTTTATTCATGCCTGAGGACGATATTTCAGCAGTTATTTGGGATATTTTTGTTGTTTCAGCAATGTTGTTATCATTCCTAGCTTTTGTATTTAGTTTATTTTCTCATTGGATTAATAAACGAATTAACCTTCAACGAAAAGAGAAGTTTTATAACCTGGCACAACGGTTGTCGGTTGGTTATTAATCAATCGTATTTGTTTGCTTTTTAGAGTTTTTTTGAAACCAACCACAATTTGAAATAAAAATACTTAAAAAATAATGTATACTATAGACTTCTTTGAATAACATTACAAGACAATTATATAAACACAGAAAGTATTGTTAGTTAATTCATTGAAGTGTCAAAGTCAATTGGAGATAGTATAATTAAAGTAAATATTATAACATTATTATAATTCATTAATAATTTGTGTTTTTTAAAACACAGTGAGTTTGTTGATTTTTATTTTTAAAAGATTAATGAATTATTAATGAATTTTTATGATATTATGTGTTTATGTGTTATTTTTTCATTTTAGTATTATATCCTATTGTTCAATTGTAATATTGAATGAAATAATAATATTATTATTAAATATTTATATTAAATTAATAATTTAATATTGAATGATATTTCAATAATTTTATCATTTATAATGTTATTTTATTTCATTATTATTATTTCTACTGAATTTCTCTTTTCATTTATTCTCTCTTTATATATTCTTTTTATATTTAATTTCATTAATAAAATTCAAAATAATTTATTCTAATAAATGAACAAATGAAAAGTAGTTAAATTAAGTGGTATTAGATGTATTTTCTATTATTCTTTGATAATACTACAAATGGTAATACCCTTCATCAACTTTCACACCACCCTTTTTCAATCAATAAACCAACACAAATTACTTCTCATACCAAAACACATAACTATCTAGTCTTAAAAAAATCAGAAAGAACAAATATTAAGAAAGTTAAAGTTAGGTGTTATACAAAACAACATTTATATTATTGTTTTTTTGTGACTTTTTTGACATGCGTGGGTATAAAACTGAATTTGAAAAGAACAAGAAAGGTATTGCTATGACAAAGGTTAAAATTACTAAACAGATTATCTCCAATAACTTGTTTATTTTTTATATTGAATGGATAAAACAAAAGATCTGAATGTGTTTATTGCATTGAGGATGAATTAATGAAATAAATTGTGAATTAACCTTTTTACTAGAACATCGTTTCGGGATTTAATTTACCTCCAAAATAAGAAAATATCTTGTTACTAATTTAAAATAATTGTGTTTTATCTGTTCATTGGTATTGACTATAGAGATTGAAAGATAAAATGAGAGATGCTCTATATAATAGTTGAGAAAAGCTAATATAATTAATATATTCTTAAATAAGAAGTTGTTATTATTAATGTATCATTTTCATTTTATAAAACAAAACGAGAATAACAAAAATTCAATCATCTCAAAAAAATAAGTCGATTAAAGTAAAAGATTTTTTATTTAGTTCTTTTGGAGACAATCCAAACAAAAAATAATGTTCAAAACTTATTTTATAGGAACTTAAAAATCAATAATGTTGGGTATTTTTTGTTTTATTACTATTGCATTTGCTATTGATGGAAGTAGTTATTCTCAATGCCCTTCACCATACCAAATTCCAAAATATCCATTCAAAGAAGAATTTACATTTGATGCCAACTCAAAGCATCCTGGAATATGTGGAGAAGATTCTGAAGATGTTAGTTCTATTTGGATAGAATTAAAGAATGATGGAGAGATAGTCAAAACATATACCATTGATGTAAGTAGTTCTATTGCAGTTCATAATACTTGTGATAGTGAATGTATTGATGCTCTTTCCAAACATTCTACCTTAACAGTAGCAGCAAAATCAAGTCTTTACTTAGTTCTTAAAGGAAGTGGAGATGTATCTATTTCTATTTCAGAAAATAAAATATCTTCTTCAGAAAACCCTGTTTCAGTTACAGTATTTCCATATGAAGAAGTTTTTACAACATCAAAAGTATCCTCATTATGTTCTGGATTAACTGAAGGTGTTTTCCTTGAATTTCCTGATATGGCTAAAGTACCTATAACCCTTAGTACTTGTGGATCAACTGCAGCTGTACAAGTTATTCTTCATAAAAAAGATTCATGTGAAGTTCCTGAACAATCTATTTGTGAAAATGGAAATGGTATTATTGCTACATTCATTGGAGAGCCAATGACAATTGAATTATTAGGTGGAAGTGAAGGAGACTTTAATGAAGGAAGTGTTTCTGTTCAATTAAAATATAATACAGCACCAGAATGTGAAAATTCTACTGAATTTAATGTAGATGAACAAGGAGGAGTTCTTATGAGAACAGTGTATAGTGGTATTCCAAAAAGTAATGATGGATGTAGTAAAGAAGTATATTCATATGATATTATTCATATTATTGGTGTTGAAGAAACTGAAATTACTTTTACTGTTAGTAAAGATGTTAAATATGAAATTCATGTATTTGAAAATTGTGAAATGAAAGAATGTATTGAGTCTATAAGTAAAAATGAAAATACAACAACATTTAATTTAGATTTAACTGAAAAAAGTTATTACATTAAAGTTGGTATTAATGCTAATGAAAATGTTGATTATACACTTCATATTAAAGGAAGTGATGAAGAAAATGGACTTTCAACTGGAATGAAAATCTTTATTGGTATTTTCATTATTGTTGCTGTTATTACTATTATTGCTGGTATTATAGCAATTATTTTTGCTGTTGTGAAAACAAAAAAGAGTGGATACAGTAATATTTAATTGACTAATTAAATAAAACATTAATTACTTTTTATTATTTATTATGAAAATTATTATTAATAAAATAATTTAGAGAAATTGTTAGATAAATTATTTATTAATTTCTTTTAATACTAATATTTTATTATTAACTTATACGATTATCTTTAATTTTCTTATTTTCTTTAAGTTTAATTTCTTTTCACCATTCATTATAATTCTTCTTTTCTTTTTATCTTTTTTCTAATCAAAATTACTTTAACTTTTGTATTGTTGATTATTCATTTTTTTAATTTATTTTCTCTTTATGATGTGATTGGTTCAATATTTTTCTTATTTTGTTCTTTTTTGTAGTACTTTTTTTAAAGTCGTTTATATATTTTTTGATTATTTATTATTGTTCGTTATAAATAATTCTTTGTTTGTATGAAATAATAATAACTGAATTATGTTAATGTCAATTTTTATTAATTTCATTGCAAGTACAACGTTTATAATTCAATTTTAAATATACCAAATTGAGTTATTTTTTTATAAGAAGATATTAATTTTTATGTTTGTTTTTGTAAATAATGTAATTTATTCATTTTTTTTCTCTAAAACTTAAAACATAAAATTTAATAATAAAAAGAATAACAAAAATTAAAAACTATTCAATCTCTTCCAGTCATTCTCTTTAATCTCACCATGACTGAGTCAGTATCTGGATTGTATGGATGGTCTTTACAAGGAATTTCCATAATGACTGGTAAATATCTATCATATCCATCAAGAATGTCTCTCATTGAATCTGCTACGTTTTGTGTTATTAAAACAATAGCAATATCAGTTCTATTAACATACTCGTTGAATGTTTGAGCAATTTTATCGTGTTGTGTTTCTGTTAATAATAAGTATGTAATTATTGTTGTTATGAATAATAAATAAACAAACTATTGTCAACAATCAGAAAGTTTGTACGTTTCATTCTATCAATAGATCCAATACCAGCAAGAAGAAATCCAGTAACACTATCTTCATCTCCAATGATAGCAATTTGACAATCTCCTTTTCTGGCTTGAGAAGCTTGGTTTTGGGCTTTTTCTTGAGAGGTACTCATTTAATAATATGAGATCGTAGTTTAGATTTTATTCTTCAAGAAAAAAACATATTTTGATTTTTGTGCATAAAATAAAAAGCTTAGCCTATTCAGGAAATTTTAACATTTAAAAATCTTTGTACAAAAAAGAACAGAAAAAAGAAGTGTTTTTGTTATAAAAAAAGGGTTATAATAACAAAAAATAATGAATTATATACTAAATAATGTTATTTGTTTACCAAAGCCCAACACGAGCTTTTGCATTTTTTTGTTTCCATTGAGGTTGTTTTGCAAAAGAATCTCGAGACATTCCAAAAACTTTTTCAAAGACACTATCTTCAAGAAAAGATTCAAGAGAACCACAAGCAACTGTAGTTAATAATTTTGGTTTTTTTTGTAATTCAGCAAGAGAATATTTACGAGTAAGTTGAAGAAAAATATCATTAACATTTTCAATAACCTCTTTTTTTCTTTTTAATTCTTGATTTCCAAAGAACAATCTTTTAAATTCTTCAGGTTCTTCATCAGGTCTAATAAATAAAGGATTTAGAGTGATATTTTTTATTTTAGCTGATTCAACATAATCCATCATTGTTTTTAATAATTTAATAATTTCTGTTAATCTAACTTCTAATTTTGCCCAAAAATATAATTTATTTCCAAATGTTACAACAATAATTCTTTGGTCTTGTAATGTTTGAAGATTTAATTCATATAATCCATCCCATTCAATAGATCCTGTACATGCACTAATAGTAAATGCATGTGGAAATTCTGGTAATGAAGTTTTAAAAAGATAATTAAATTCTTTATAAGTTTGATACTTTTGAATATTTTCAATAGTATCTTTATTACAATCAAATACAATTTTACTTCTTAAAATAATTTCTTTAATTTTTTGATATTCAGGACAATATTTTCCTTCTACAATTATTCCTTTTCCATTAATATTAATTAAATAACTTCTATTATAATCAATCAAATTTAAATGATTAATTTGTATTATTCTAATACCTTCAGTCCCTCTTTCTTTTCTAATTTCATATAACTCATATTTCTCTGGATAAATACTTTTTTTAATAATAATACCACCTTTGTGCATTGCAATAAATTCTCTTTGTTCAGCCCCTTCAACAACCCTAACATGGACTGCATCTAGTTGATGTTTTTCAACATAATCAACAGTAAGTGCAGCAGCTTTTCCTCTATGAAGAATTGAAGCATTTTTTCCTAACCAAAAGAAAAGAGCATGTCTAAATAAATTTTTCCAAGGATAAGTATAATGAAATACATAACATTCATTACTTTTTAATATGAAACAATTCTTTTCTTCTTCAATTAATTGAAGTGAAATATTTTCAACTTTATATTTTTTAAATATTCCTTCTGGACTAAACTCTGGTACTTTTTTTTCTTTATATTCAACTTCTTTAAATAGTACAGCAACATTAAATGGTGGTAACTCTTTTTTTATATTTATTGTTGGACTAGAAATTTTTGGTCTTGAAAGTATTGGTTCAGTCCAATCACTAAATAATTGTTTAAATAAAAGTGGTTCTCTTGACTGAAAAACAATTGTTAATTTTCCATTTTTTAGTGACCCACATAATTTTGCACATGCCTCTCTTGCATTTTTTGATGTTTTTAATCCACACCATAAAAATGAATTCCATCCTGTTGTTATATAAAACATATGAAGTCCACTAAGACTTTTTTTAGAAAGAATGTCTTGACTTACAAGAATTTTTTTAACTTTTTTTTCTTCATATTCTAATCTTTCTAACTTTAATGTTACTCTTCCTTGATCAAATCCATATTTTCCTCCAATTGCTTTAATAAATTCTTCATTTTCATTTCCTTCATCTTCAATTACTATTTTATAACATGGTTTTTCAAATGATTTATATTTTAATGCAAAATCTGCACATTGTGATTTTACTTGTAAACTTATTTCTTTACCTCTCCAGACATATAACTTTTTCTGATTATCATCTATAAGAATACCCCCAATTTTTGAATTTAAATTAGAGTATGATGCTACTACTTCTACTGTAATAATATTTTTTTCATTTCCATTTTGTGAAACAAGTAATAAAGTACAAATAGATGGTGCATATGTTCTTCGTTTTAATGTTACTGATGTTCTTTTTAATTCCTCTGTTACATGACGTACAAGTTGTTGAGACTCTTTTGATGGTAATGAAATATCAGTTGTAGGTTTTGTATTTTCTTCTTCATCTTTTCTTGTTATTGATTTTCTAATAGAACTTCTTAAAATTGATGGTGTTCTTTGAATAGTTATATTTTTATCATTCTCTTTTGTTACTGACTGTTTTAATTTTTCAGTAACTTTTCTTACAACTTCTGGATTCTTCTTCACTTCTTGGTTGTGTTGAGATGATAAGTCTTGAGATATACGAGATGTAATCCTTTCAGTTTTCTTTTTAAAAAGATATTGAGAGTTTGTAGTTAATTTTGATGTTGGTTTTCCTTTAATTGGAGTGATCTCTGGTGTTTTAACTGAAAGAGCTGAATCAAGTTGAGTTAGTTCTTGTTTTGCTATTTTTTTAATTCCACCTTTTGAAAAGTATAATTGAGTCAACACCTGAAGCATTGGGTCTTTTTTATTATTTTCTGTTAATTTGTCTTTTCGTTCTCTGTCTTGTGGAAACATAATGTATGAAAATGAATTTGAGATTATTTCAAATCTCTATGAATTTCGAGTTAATTCAACCTTCTCTATTTTAATTTTATCAAACTATTTTTAAATTTTGGTTTTCTCTTTTTAAATGAAATTATTTTAAAATAGTATATTTATAATTAACTTCTCCATCCAAAAAATTTTAAATATAGCATTTAAAAAACTAAAAAAGAGGTTTTAATAAAATGATATTCAGAATGTAACAGATTTCTTATACTCTCGTTCTAATTCAGCAAATGGTTTTTCTGGAATATTTTTTGATTTTGTTTTCTATTTGATAAATGAATGAACAGATACAATCTTAAACGAAAAGACAAACATCATATCTTCCACACATTGCAACTGAATCGCCAAAAACAGTTAGTACTTTTCCTAATGGTTTATGAGCTTGAAACCCATTAAAATAAATATGTTCTTGACAATCAGATAATGAAATATTTCCTATCATTATGTTAATCCATTTATCATAAACCCAAATAACAAACCATATTTATCAAATGTTCTTAATATACCACTAAAATATTGATATCCATGTCCATAAGTTACTACAACATAAAATGGCCAATCAACGTCTTCTAAAAGTGAAGCTGTGGCGTGCCAAGAAAGTTTACTCATTCAGAATTGTTTTAGTTCTTTTTCTTTAAAAAATTAATAATATGTACTATAATATTTATTATTATATTTTAATTATATTATAATAACAAAAAATAATAACAAAAAAAAACTGAATTTGTTCTTACTCAAGTTTCTTGTAATAATTAATAGCAACAATATAAATATTGTATGATATTAAGATGATCAATGAAGCAATACAAATTGGTAAGAATTCAACTGATGGAACAACTTCCATTTTATAAGCCATTATATGGTCATCAGTAACAATGACAATATCATTTTTCTTATCGTTATTAACATCACCAAATACTGGTGGCATAATTGGTTTACAAATATGATCAAATTCTTTTTTAGCAATAACATTACCATTTAAATCTACAACATTTACAAATCTACTTCCTTGTGATACAATAAATGGATCTGTTTCATTCTTTCCATAAGTGAATTTGAATGATACTATAGAAGGTTTGAAAGTTTTAGCATTCTTTTCTTCAAGGTCCCAATATGATTGAACCTCAGCCTGCCATTTTAATGCACCATTATTGGATACAGATGTCATTAGCCCTAAATTATTTAAAAGTATAATATCAAATTTAGGTCTACCATCATGGGCAATTTCCTGGTTTGGAACTAATAATGGTGGTAAAATAATAACTTCCACATTTTCTTGCTTTCTTCTTAATAAATCGAATCTACGAGCTTTGGTACATGCATTCTGTGAGAATAAAAATTTGAAACTTCCCATTGTCATAGCTTGAACTTGACAACTAATATCATCGTCAACTCTTGAATAATCTAATGTATGTGCAAATTGATGAGTAAATACTTCATCTAATGAGTCATCTCCATCAATATCAGCAAATGCACTTGCTGATGACATTGTTGTACTTGATAATGAAACATGGAGTAATGGTTTTCCTGTAAATAAATGAATAACTTCAATACCATTTTTTTGGTGTGCAACAAATACATTAGGATTTTTAATTAAATCAAATGAGTTATATGGATATTTAATGTCTTTAGTTTTAGGATTAATTAATTGAGTTGGGTTATTAACCATATCTCGTGCAAAATGAGAAGGAATTATTTTAGTGTCATAATATGATGTCCATTGATGTGGCATATTTTGGAATACAGCATCATGAAATTCATGCCATTGTATTTCACCAAATTCTTCTGTAAATGAACTAAATATTTTGAACTTCTTATACTTCTCAATTTCATCAGTATTTTGTTCTATTAATTCTAGATATTCATCTTTTTCATCAGTTTCATGTTGCCAAATTACTTGACCATCTTTAGTACTAAATGCGTAATAATTCATATGTTCTTTTAACATATCTTCTGGATCAAAATCATCATTAATTAAATCTTCTTTTTGTTCTTCAAATGTTTGTTGAAGAGTAACTCTAAAATCTTCTTCAAATTCTTTATCAGCTCTATTTCCAGAAAGCATTTCATCATATGAAGTTCTAAATGCTACAATAACAGCTCCTTGATATTTAGTTTGAATGTCATAAGGAACAACAATAGCACTAACTTCTTGTACATATGCTTTAGCTTTTGATTTATAATAATTTTGTCTCCAACGAATAGTTAAATCGGGATTAAAACAAATAACCTCAAAATCTCTCATAATCACAATGATAATTTGTGATCTTTTTTCAGTATTATCATATTTTTTATCATATCCACTTGTAATGTAAATAGGAAATGACTTCTCTGGTAAATTAACTTCTTTCTTTAACTCTAAACTTCCTTTCTTAACAGAATACATAGACAATTTCTTTGATGCAAATGGAGCTAATACTATATCATTAATTCCATCTCCATCAATATCTGTAATTATTGGAACAGCATTTAGTTCACTTGTTGGATTTCCACTATATTTATATTTAAATATCAGTTCTAAATCAGATACTCTTTGGTGATGAACTAAATAGTACCATCCAGCAAAACAAAAGATAAGAATTATCCATTTTATTGTATTCATCTTAATTTTGTTCTTCTTTGCAATTCTAAGTTCTTCTTTTTTTATTTTTATTTTACTTATAAAATAGTAAATTTTAATTAAATTATAGTTTATTCTAAAAATTTTTTAATTTATTTTTCATTCTTTACTCCTCGTCTTAGTTGTGGAGCTCTTTTCATTAATTTACCACTTTCTCTCTTAATTCGTTTTTCTTCCACCTTTTTCAATTGGTCTCCATAAGTTTGTTTATCAACTTCTTCTTTAAGTTCTTGTTTTGAAAGGAATTTAGGTTGTTTTCCTTCAATAATTCGTTTATGGTTTTCTTCAACCAAACCACGTTTAATTATTTCTTCGTTTTTATATTTTTTTTGCATTGTAATTCTTTGGTTCTATTATGTTAATAACATTATTTTTATTTGAAAATATATTGTAATATTTTGTTTTATAATACTTTTTATTTTATATTTTAAACAAACTAATTGTTGTCGTTTTTTTATTAATTTTTCTCGTTCTTGTGCGTCTTTACAATTTTTAATTTGTTTACTTAATTCATTGGCTTCTTCTTTTTGTTTTTCTTCTAAAAATTTATATTTTTTACAAAAACCTAACATTGAAACTTTACCTCCTTCTTCTGTAAATCGTGGGTCTCTGCGTTCTATCTTCTTTGGTTTAAATATTTCTATGGTTCTTGAAACTTTCTTTTTTGCTGAAACTTCCATTGGAGCATCGTTTTTACCCATGATGAACTGTTATTTTAAAGAACTATAAAAGAAAATTATTTTTCAATTACTATCAATTCTTTGTATTTAAAACATACCTTGTCTTAGAAAGACTCAAATAATTTTAAGGTATTTATCATTTCTACTAATGAATAGAAAGTCAAATCCTTTTGGGTTTATAATAATGGGTTTTTTATAATTTTTATCATTTAAAACAAGTATAATTTTTTTATTTAGTACTTTTACTAATTATTTTGAAATAATAAGTGTTGTTTTTATTAATAAATTATTTATTAATGAAATTACAAGTAATGTTATTTATATAATGTTTTTGTTAAGATTTTTTTCCTTCAAACTAATATTTGAATAATAATGATAATATAAATTACTTTATATATTTAAATAACATGAATATATTTATTTGCAAACATAAAAATTCCATGAAAAATGTTTGTTGAGTAATTTTATATTATAAAAGAATAATTTTATACTAATTTTTATATGATGAATGTTTTTTATTAACATTTCTTTTATCATTGGTTTAATAACTATCATAAAATTTATTAAATTAAAATAAAAATAAAATTGAAAAGATACTACATCACTTTAGAAAACTAAATAATTAACTTGAACGATATTGTATAAAAAGGTATTAAATTTTTTTGTTGGTAATAACTAACTTGACTCTGACTACATTAACCAATAAAAAAAAAGAATAATAAAGTAGTAGAATAACTGTGTTTTTTTAGTATTAGACAAATCTTCTCACGAAAAAATAATAGAAAAATATCGTTTTCAAGTTATGAAAGAAAGGTACTCTTTAAAACTAAAAATAAAACATCATGTGAACAAAAAAATGAATAAAAAGTATAACGAAGAAAACCTAAAATCAAAAATAGAAATTCTTTTTTCTTCATCGTAGAATGTATAAAAAATGAATAGTAAAGAAATGAGTTGAATAATATAGCATTAAAAGGGTGGTAAATATCGGGAAATGTAAAATTAAAAAATGAATAAAGTATAAAAAAAGAAGAACAAATAATAATAAAAAATAATAAACTAAACTTGAAAATTAAGAATATAAATAATTAGTTCATTTGTTTGTGATGAGATTGAATTTGAAAAGAAAACTGAAATAATCAATAGAATGAGTGAAGTTGGAGTAAAAGAAAAGAAACATAAAAAAGGATTATTTGATTTATTTTCTCGAATTAAACATACAACAAATGAAGAAAAGAAAGAAAAAAAAGAGAAAAAAGAAAAGGAGAAAAAAGAAAAAGAAGAAGCAAAAGAAAAGAAGAAAGGACATGGAAGAAATGAATCACAAAATCTTAAAACTCCACCTATAGCTGCTAATCCAAAAGTAGCAGGGTATGCCACTGGTTCAATGGTTAATCTTTTAAAGAATATGCCTGATTGGAGAGATCAAACTAGAAAAGTAGTTGTTGAAGGGAATTTTGAAACATTTCCTATTGCTGGAGATTTACCGCGTTTATTAAAACATTTATCTATTGTACGTAAAACAAATGAAAATGAAATTTCTTGTTTATTCCCAGAAGATGGTAATAAAACTGATGGTAAAGTTAAAATTGTAGTTGATGTACAAGGAAATAAAGTTACAACAGGTGATTGTTTAAAAGTTATTCAATGTATTACTAAAATCTTTGATGAAAAACATTGTGAACGAGTAGAAAAAGAATGGAATGCTGTTATGGATAATTCAGAAGATCTTTCTGTACAAAAAACATTTTTAATGAGAGTATTAAAAAGTGTTTATGTTGACGAAGGATCAAATGAAGTATCTCCTGTTATTACATTTTTAAAAGCAATTAATCAAAAAATTATTGCAAGTTCTACTATGAAATTAAAAGCAGTATGTGGTAATTTGTTTATTAAAGATGCACGTTTGTTTTATTTATTTTATTTCATTTATTGTTTTTTTTAATACTTATTATTATTAGAACCAATGGTTTGGGAAATTGCAGTAATTCTTGATGGCGACAAAACTATTATTTCTCATTACAGAAGACAAGAAACTACATCAAAAAATTCAGAAGAATATTTTAGATTTTTATGGGAATTACGTTTAGTATTTAATAAAGAAATGACTCAATTACAAGAATTAAAAATGGGTATTAATGACATTGAATTTAATCCAAATACTATTTCATCTGTACGTGAAAGAGTTGAGTCAACATTAGAATCTCTTAAATTTGAAGATTGTGTTGTGTCTGATTTAGAAGATTCAAGTTCTGAAGAAGAATAAAGTTAAAAGTATCTTATTCATTTTTGAGTGAACATTAAACCATTAGTTTATTATTTATTTTATAATCAATTAATAAATATACTACTGAATTACTTTATACTTCCATAAAACCATCTAATCTTCTTTTTTCCCTTATTTTATTTCTTTTTTTAATATAATTTTTAATATTTAATGTACCTGATACACTTTTTTTGTAAGTGAAGCAAATAATTTATCATTATTGAAAGGAAATAAAACTAATGTATTGACAACTTAATATGGTAAAGACTTCATTCTTAATAAGAAATCGTATTGGTTAACTCTTTATTCTTTTGTTTATTTAAATTAAAAAAAAACTAAGTCTTTTATTGCAATCACTTAAATAAATTCTTTTTATTTCTTATATGGACCTTCAAATCCTTCAAAATCACATAATAAAAATAAAGGATAATATGAATATTTTTCAATCATTGAACACCAATTCCATGCTGAAGTTAACCTTCCATCAATACAACTTCCTCCATCTGACCCACTTCCATCAAATGCATGTTGGAAGAAATGTCTTAATATTGCTGAAGACCAAACTTTAGATGGGTAATGCTCAAAATATAATTGGATTTTGTCAATAAATTTTTTTTCTAATAGTTTATAAGAAGTATGAAGAACTGGTGAAAGAATCCATGGTACTTGTGAATATTTGTCAATAAAAAATAAACAATTTGGTACATCTCTATCTCCTAAATGAACTACACTTAACCCTCTCCACTCTTTTCCTTCACACATAGTACTTTGTGTTTGACTAAGAATTTGATGAATAGCAGAAGAAACATTTGGACATTGTTGTAATCTTTGTAAACCTTGTCCAGTATTAACTAAACTATAACTTCTTCCACTTAAAAAGTCTTTATCATTCATTATCCATAACAATGACATATGTCTCATAACATTCCACCATAGTCTTAGACTTTGTTGAACAAATAAAAAATGTTCAGAATGACTTTGTGTTAGTCTCGACCCACCTTTTCCAAATTGAATTGCTAATGAAGAGCCACTATTTCCTTTATCTCTAAATTGTTCTAGTTCCCTTAATATTTCAAATACAACTCCACATGTTTTTGCTGATGCTTCAATTCCATCTCTAATTGAATATACAATACGAAGACCATGTTCTCCATATTGTTTTTCAATTTCTTCTAAAGTTAATCCTTCTTCTCTCAGTTTAATACATTTCATAATATCTTCTATTTTCATATTACATTCTTTCATTCCCATTTCAACAGTATAAATAGGTTTCCAGTTTTTATTCTTTACAAATTCTTTACCAATAAATTTAGGATTATAATTTATAGCATCTTGTAAAATATGCATCATTTTTTGATATGTTTCTCTCATCATAGATGGATTTGCTGCTTTGTATCTTCTTCCAACTTCAAAACAATCTTGAATGAAATCTTCTTTTAATTTTTCATCTTTACTAACTTTCATACCTTCTCTGAAGTTATTGGTAACTAATAATCCAATCATAATTCTCTTAAGTTCTTCATGTTGTTCTATAATAATTTGTTCTTTTTTAAATCCTTTCATTCCTAAGTCTTTTTGTTTATAACCATATCCATAATATATATAATCTGATTTAGCAATATCAACATTATTTGTATATTCACTAACATCTAATGCTGCTTCAATAATTTCAAGATATCCTCTTTCTCTTTCTGTTAGTCTCATAGGAATATATCTTATTAATTGATAAATTTCATTTAAACTTAACTTTTTTAAGTGATCAATATATGTTTCTTGCAAATCTTCTTTTCTTAACTCTTTTGAAACTTCAACTTCAATACTTAACTCTTTTGATTGTAAAGAAAATAACTTTTGTTCTTTAATTTTTTGTTTCTTCTGTGATTTCTTTTGTTGTTTTTTAGTTAATTCTCGCTGTTCATTTTTTTCTTTTGGTTTTGTTTCTTCTTTTCTTTTTGAAGACTCTTCTTCATTGTTATATCCTTGTGCCCTTTGTTTCTTTTTTCCTTTATTATGTCCCATATCTTTTGTTTTGTTTTAAGTAGTTCTACAAATTAACATCATTAATTTTGTTCTATATATCATTTTTTGTTTTTTATTTTTTAAGGTTTGTAAAAAACGAAGATATAATAAAATATAATAAAATTAATTAGAATGAGATCTAAAAAAATGAACTAACCCTTTGCAATCAGCATGTCAGCCGTAAAAGCCGCTGGTAAAACCCAAAAGAAACACACTGAGGCTCTTAAGAGCGTTCAAGTTTTCGGAAAGAAAAAGACTGCCATTGCTGTCTGTCTTTGCAAAGAAGGAAAAGGTATGATTAGAGTTAATGGTGTTCCACTTGATCTTATCAACCCACCAGTATTAAGAATTAAAGTTTTTGAACCATTATTCATTGTTGGTAAAGAAAACTATGCTAAATTAGACCTTAAAATCAGAGTCACTGGTGGTGGACAAGTTGCTCAAGCTTATGCCATTAGACAAGCCATTGCTAAAGCCCTTATTGCTTACAACCAAAAGTTTGTTGATGAAACTACAAAGAATGAACTTAAAGCTAAATTCCTTGAATATGATAGAACTCTCCTTGTTGCTGATCCAAGAAGATGTGAAGCTAAGAAATTCGGAGGACCAGGAGCTCGTGCTAAATACCAAAAATCATACAGATGAGCTATTTCAAATTGATAAGTTCTTAATTGTTATAAAATTGGTTTATTTCTTTCTTTGCATAATTATTTTTGTTATCAATAGTCTGATTTTATTTAATAGACTTATTCTTCTTTTTCATCTTATAACAAATAATTAAAAACAAGTTGAGGTTGTACTTGAATGATATTCTTTTTATTGAATGTGTCTTATCA